AATTTTTTTTGAAAGTCCAATAAAATTATTCTGATCAAAATTGAAATTTTATGGTCTTTACTGTAGTCTATTAAAAGAGCTTCCATTAATTATCTCCTTTAAACACTAGCAACTAGTTTTATGTAGCCAAAATAATATTAAGTTAAAATCCTCTTAGGGTGACTAATATTATACAAAGGATTTTTTGGTTGTTATCAAATATGTTTATGAGGGGTAAAGTTCGGTTAATGACTCTATTTTGGAAAAATTACTGTCCTTTATAGAGTCTTGGATTCCAAATTTTCAAACCTATCTCAAGTTTGCTTTTGTTTAGATAAGGAATTTAATGAGTCTTTGTTTTCTCATAGAGAATTCTTAATACCTTTTAAAACAATGTATGTATTCTCCTATAATTTTGCCTTGGTATAAGACGTTATCACATTAAGAATATTATTAACCTAACAAAAATTTTTTTTCAAAATTCCTTTCTTCCTTTCAACTCCCTCACTGAACTGAAAATACTATTAGATTTTAAACTATTATGACCATTTGGGGATAATATGAAGTGTTGTTCTAAAATATTTTTTCATCAATGTCATGCTTCTTTCTAAGAACAGAGTAAAGTGCTCTGATGTTATAAATAGACTTTATTCCACCAGCTTTCATACATTCTGACTTACTTTATCTATAGCTAGTAAGGTGATACACTTCCTTCCAACATTTAGTGGGGTAAAGTTCATTTATCTTCTAATCTAGGAAAATAACTCCTAACAACCTCTGATACTCAACAGAAACACAACTGTACTTTGGAATTAGTCATTCACCTTGCTTTCATAGTCTCCTTATTTATTAATGCAAAATAGTGGTACAGCGAATGTTTCACAGTGTCATGTACTACCAAAGGAATTTATTGCAATAGCATTGTTTTAAAATGTATTATTTGATTTTGACCTGACTAGCATAGATCAGTTTTCCCCCTCTATGTTCAGCCTGGAATGTCTAAATGCAAAAATCAAGTGTTCTATTAGCTTCCATGCAAAATCGAGATGGCCTTATTAAAAGACAGTCCCAATTAACAATTTCGTGTCATCTGTAAGAAATCAGTTTTTTGCCCACTTCCCATCTCTAATGTTTTTGAACAAAGAAGAATTCTTGGACCTAGGTTTCAAGGTTTATTTTTGTATATTCCTTAAAGCACTTTACTAAATGAATCTGAGCCTCATTTTTCAAATACGTAAAATGATTGTTGTGAGGATATACTGCAAAAAATGTAAAGTGTTCAACATGGTGTATTGTACATAGCATTAATAATTGTTGCATAGGTGGTGCTCTTGTTATTTGCACGCTGTGCTGTGTTTCTGCCCGGCCTCGAATGTCATGTAAAACAGCTGGTGAGTTTTAGGAGGTATCACCCACATATTATCTTGCAGTGTTTCCTTTGCTTGATCAGCAGAGCAACAGAGGAGAAATGCTTCTTCTTTGGTATGCAGAGTTCACTGAATAAGGAAAGGGTTTGGCGTTTTTGTTTCCTCTCTGGTGAAACAATCTGAAGAAGTCTTTTGTCAAATATCTTTGTAAAAAGAGAAAGTTATAAGCAAAATATAAGGATGATGTTATTTATAATCGACAGAAGCCACCTTATTTGAACATCCTGTGTTGAAATGCCTACTCAATGCAGTGACTCACAGGAGCTTTCTAGTGGGAATCAAATGCTCAAATGAAACAGAGTGTTATGCCTTTTACTGGTTGGACTCTGGTAAATACCTGACAACGAATAGTACTTTACCCGAAGGGACACGTATCATGGACCACATAGTCTAACCACAACCATTAAAGGTCTACGTAACTCAAATGAAAATAGGAAAGACAGCTTTCATAGAATCAGATAAGATGCAAAGTAGTTCTTAAGTTAAATAAATGTGTAAGCGAAGTGTAAGTGACTACAATGGTTTCATATCCCTATATATGTAATGCAGAAATTGTGGGAACCCTTAGAAATCTATTCAAATGGAAAGTAATAAAGCATTTGCACATGACCTTGTATTCATAATCCTTACTACTCATAAAAACCTACATATTTTAACAAAGCTACTTTTCTAAGAATGGCCTTTTCTGGTTAATCCCAGAAAAACTTCATATTTACAACTTTAAGGTGATAGTCCCAACCCAACAATTTATTTTTGTTAGCTACCTTAGCCACAATTTGTGTATAAAGCTCACGATAGCAAATGAAGTTCTAATCTCAACAGAAGATAAGAACGAACAATTTTCATCCTTTAGTTCTTTACGTAAGGATATAATTTAAGAGAAAACATGCTTAATTTTAGAGATTTTTAAATTTTGTATTTCATTTTGCGAACCTATCAAGTCTGCTGTCTTTTACCTAGGTTGTCTAGAAGGTTTAAGCTCAAGGTTAGGGTTTGAGAAGAGGGTTTTGAGAGTGATGAGGATAGATTTAAGAACCAATTTTATAAGCAGTCAAGATGACCAAGATGTCTAAGAACCGATTTCATACTGAAACGTGGCCATAAGTATTTTCAAGTACATTCAAATAGCCCTCACGAGCACTTTTTTGCTTGCTTCACCAAAACATCCCTACATACCCCCTAAGCCACATCATTTAAGTAGGATTTGTTCATATCAGGTCTCTCTTGTGGGAGTTTCCAGGGACAAGGGTTAGTCCCTTACTTACCCTTACTTATAGCCTTAGCCATACTAGGATATTTACTTTAATTCTAGAGAAGTTTCCTAATTAATATT